TGGAGGGCAGTGTCACTGGCCCTCATATGTGAGATCCGAACCGGGGCCCTCTGGCGTCCCAAGCCAGTTCTTAACCATCGCGCCACTCGGCCGGCCCCGCCACTGACCTTTTTAATATTATGGTTGGAATCACATGGTATGTGTCCTTTTCAGATTGGCTTCTTTCTAGGAATGTGCATTTAGGTCCCTCCATGACTTTTCACGGCTGGATAGCTCATTTTTCTCGAAGCGCTAAATAATAATATTCCACAGTCTGGAGTGACCATAACTATTGATCCATCACCTACTGGAGAACATGTTTGCCCGTTCCAGGTTTTGGCGATTATGAATAGAGCTGCTGTAAACATTCCAAGCGCAGGTTTTTGTGGGGTCAGAAGTTTTCAAGCTCATTTGGGTAAATACCAAAGGGCACCATGCTGGATTTTTGTTAACGCTCCTCCCCCCACTACTCTTTGACTTAAGTAGCTGCTGTCGGTTAATCTGCCCATGTGATTTTGTGGAAATAAAAGGGCAAGAGGTCACCTGTTTTCAGAAGACCTAGATCTGGTGAGTAGAAACACTTGCTCCCTCTTTGAAGCAGGCCAGTGTGGAAGCACTCCCAGCTTGGGGGTATCTGCATCACTGTGGCCCCCCCACCCCCACCCCAAGTTCAACACCTTTTATAGTTGAGAGAGTGGTTTTTGTTTTTTAATTTTGTTAAGTTACTCTTGTTTGTTGGCCCTGTCTGATGTAGTGGATAGGCCCAGACTGGGGGGCAAGTTTTCATGGGTTGTGTCAAGCATTTGTAGAATCAAGTGCAACTTGGGATCTTTGGTAAATTTGTTTCTTGGAGGCAAGGAAGGGACAAAGAGATCCTTGTGCAGCTTTAGAGTGGCTCTTTTGTTCTTGTTTTTGTACACTCTGTTTCCTTGAATTACTCTGTTGAATGATCCTGTAGGCCACCCTCCCTACAGCACCCCCCCCCCCGCTCCCCAGACGCAGAGAAATGGAACAGCATTGTTTTTAAATAACTCGTTGTGATATTGGAAGTGAATTATTGTATTATTAACCTTGTCAGAAGCTAGAAGTATAGATTTAAACATCCTTTTAACTACTAAGGACCAGTTTTTTAAATTTCCAGTCTTTCATGAACTGAGACTTTTGTAACATCAATAAAAATGAATTTTCAGAGTAATGAAATGAAAAAAGACAAAATATAATCCCATTTTAAAAATTATTGCAATCAACATATGTAAAATTACCTTGTAAAACTGCTACAGGCATTTCAACTTCTGTACTGTAACTAGTGGCAGGCAAGTGATGTTGATGTTTGTCTCTCTCTGGGTAGTAGTACTTCCCTGTGAAAGTGACGTCCCGGCTCCTTAACATGTGCACAGCTAAGGGGGTCCAGCATGTAGTAGGCACACATTTAAATAGAGCTATGTTATTTAATCGGCAAAGCAATCGTTTGAGATGGCATTATCTTGATTATATAGATGAGAGAAAAATTTGGGTGGTAGAATGGCCTACTCAACTTCCTGTAATAAATGGTCAGGGAAGTAGAACGACCCCCCAGATTTTTCACTGGAACCTGTGAATATGTTGTTAACTGGCAAACGGGAATTTGCAGATGTAATTGAGGTCCAGATCCTAACAGGGAGCTTGCCTGCATTATCTATTCACATGTGCCCTTCAAAATGGATTTGCAATGCTGGAGGGACTTGATGGTCATTGTTAGAGGAAGCCACATGGAGAGCATGACTAGGAATGTGGGCATTGAAGAGCAAAGACTGGGTCTGGCTGACAGGAAACGGGCCACCGGCTACGGCTTCAAGGAACTGAGTTTGGCCAGCAACCTGAATGAGCTTCTGACAGGGAGTGCAGCCCTGCTAATACCTTGGTTTTGGTCTTGTGGGCCCCTGAACAGAGGACCCCGTTGCTTTTACCTGGATTTCGGGCTTATAGAAACTGAGATAATTTCTGTTTTTTTTTGTTTTGTTTTTTGTTTTTTTAGCTGAGCCATCCTGCCACCTGTTGGCAGCTCAGTGGCAGCTCAGCTCGGGCTGGGCATCGAACTGCTGTTGCTCAGAGCTCGCTCAAGAACCAACTGAGCCACTTGGTCGGCCCTTCAATTTCTGTTGTTTTAAACTGCTGAATTTGTGGTACAGGCAGACCTCACAGATACTGCGGGTTCGGTTCCAGAACGGTGGCAATGAAGCACATATTCTATAAAGCAATCACATGGAGTTTTTGGTTTCTCAGTGCATATAAAGTTGTGTTTACACTATACTGTAGTCTGTTAAGTGTGCTATAGCATTCTAAAACAATGTACATACCTTACTTAAAAATACTTTATTGCTAAAAAATGCTAACCATTATCAGAGCCTGTTGGAAAAATGGTGTGGATAGACGTGCTTGACACAGAGTGGCCACAGACTCAATTTTTACAAAAGGCTATGTGTGAAGGTAATAAAATGAGGTATGCCTGTAACTTGTTACAGTAGCAGCAGGAAACTGATTTCGGGTGAGCTGACCCACGAAGCCAGTGTCAACCACAGTGCCTGGCGCACAGTGGGTGCTTAGGTACTTGTTGAATGATGTCTTTCCAGAAAGGAGAGTTTTGCGTGGGGTTTTGATGTTGGTGAGAAAACCTTCGACATGAGAAGGCAGGCTTTATAAGCATAGGCCATCACACCGTGAACACATTTTGGGGAGGGACAGTCACTGGTTTGCACTGAGTCACAGGAGTCCAGTTCGTGAGTGTGCCATTCAGCCAGCTTAATGAGCCTTATGGGTAGTGACCACCAGCATTAAAAAGAGAAGTAGAAACCAGACGGTATCATAGGTAGTTCAGACAAGAACTGTTTCGTGAGATGCACGTGTCTGCGGTGAGTACAAGGTCACAGTGAGTTTTTTGCAGAGTTCCTGTCGTGAGACGTTAAGTTCTAGGGATGGACTGGTGAAGTGCGTGTGAATAGTTCAGTGGTTTGTAAACTATATTTTCTCTGATTCTATGGATTTCTCCCTTTCTTGTTTTCCACATGGTATTGTATTTGACTCCTTTGCGCTGATTGTGGAGTATGCTTTCTTTTATCTGTATACTCCTGTTTCTTCACCTTGGCATGTGGAAAAGAGAAACTCTGTCTCTCTGAGGCATTTGGGCATCTTCCCCATTGCTGTCAAAGCCAGCTTTCCTTTGGCATGTGTGGCCGGGAGTTGCTCAGCGCCCCCATTGTCCTCTGCTCCTTGTTTCTTTGAGGTGACTTCTCTTAGTAACTCACATTAACCCCTGGCTCCCAGCAGTGTTGCTTAGGTCTCAATTTTAGATCTCTGACTCTCTGACTTTGTCCTCAAGAAAATTCACATAGAAAGTTTTCAGATTGCCATTATCTGATGCTTGATTTTACCCAGTTTGCTTTTTTTTTTTTTCAAGTTTCAGATATTTATTAATCAGTGTGACCCCAACATAACACACCAACATGATTTCGTGCATTAGGAGGGAGAATATTCCTGGTTAAGTGGAAAATTCTGCGGATGGCTTCTGGAAGACCTTCATTCTAAGCAGCTTTATAGAAACATTTCATTTAGAAGTCTGGACCTTCTTTCTTCAGTTTGCTGTAATCTACATTCACTGAGTAGAACTTGTATTGCTCATTGGGACCCAGTTTGTTCCAGGGTTCTGGGTTATTCTTTTTATCCCAACAAACATCTGGATTGAACAATGCCAGGCGCATAACATACAGTGCTGCTCCAGTACCTCCAGCTCCAATAAACACAAAGAGGGGGATCAAGCTCGGGTGCTTCTTGGCCTGGCCGAGGATTTGGCACAGCATGGTTGCGGCAGTGGTCTCGGGGTCCGGAAGCACAGCAAAACAAAACCGAGAGGCCCCGGACTAGCTAGTGTCTGTCCAGTTTGCTTTTTTCTTAATTTCAGTTTTCCTTCTTGGTGTGTCTTACTGTAAGTTGCATGACTGCTGTGTTGGGCACTGTGTCAGGTGACACAGGCAATACAAGCAGTCTCAGTCCCTCTGGCAGACAAGGGAAGTCCCACTTTATAGTTGAGGGAGTCACAGACCAGATTAGTTGAAAGACTTGACTTACCCTGGGCCCCACGGCTGTTAGGGTGTAGAGTGGGCGTGTTTTCTCCAGAGCAGACTCTTCTTGTTTTGTTGCCTTGCTGAATTTAGGCTGCATAGATGCAGTGTATGCTTGTGTTACCCTGCAAGGATTCCTCACCCACTCCTGCCTTGATTGAATCTTAAAATCTGCCTTACTCCTCTGACCATAGCCGGTTTCCCTAAGGAGGGGGTGGTGTGTGTGTGTGTGTGTGTGTGTGTGTGTGTGTGTGTGTGCGCGCGCGCACGCGCGCAGTCAAGCCAAACAAATCAGAATACCCTGGCAACTGGCCATAAAGTATTTCCAAAATAAGAGTGTCTCACTGTTGCCACTGTCACCACCGTGGACTAAATAAACCACCACCATCTCTGGATTATTGCAGAAGCCTTCTGTTTGTGGTCTCCTGGCTTCCCATCCTTTGCCCCCCGATAATTTATTCTAGCCCCTCGAAGAATACCTGGTGTGAGGTAGATGTCAGTTAATTTGCTGGTTGAACAAATCCTTGAGTACACAATCACACCTAAGGTTCTCTGAGTACCTTAGATTGCTGTGCAAGTGAAATGTGGACTCTGTATCATGGCTCCCAGCGCCCTCCGCCCGCACCTGCCTAAGCGCCTGCTGCTTCCTTTCTCTGCACTCTGGCCACAGTGGCAGTTTTCCTGCGTCTTGAAGACACCAAACTCATTTCCACCGTTGGCTCGCGCTCTGCTCCTTACTCTGCTGCTGCTCCCACGACTGGCTCCTTCCGTCATGCTGGGGGGAGGGGGGACTCCTCAAATGTCTGCTCCTTACAGAAGTGTTCTGTGACTTCCGTAGCTACAGACGTCCTCCCCTCGCCTTCTTTCCCACCTCTATTTCAGCTTTCTGCCCTCTAAAGCACTTGCCTGTGCCGAGTCTTGTTTGTTTGTGATGTATTTTTGGCTCTTCTGCCATCCCACGGCCCCAGAATGAGCCTGAGATTTCTGGCTCTTAGAATTGGGTTGGATCAGTAGTGTGGTCGTTGACTGAGATGGAGTACCCTAGTTGAAAAGTTCGAAGAGTTACACTTTTAGTTTGTGTGTGTGTGTGTGTGTGTGTGTGTGTGTGTGGTTTTGATTCCTTTGTTCCTTTCTTGAATTTTATTTATCCTTTTAGAAAACGTACCTCTGTGACTGGTTTGAGCATGTTGTTTGAGGTGCCGGTGGGCATCCGAGAGGAGGTGTTGAGTGGGAAACGGTGATAGGCGCTGAGTAAGCTGGGCTGGAGGCAGTCTGTCAGGGCCTGAGAGGCTGACGTGAACCCCAGCTGCACCATCTGCTGTCTGACGCTGGGCAAGCCACTGAGCAGGCCTTGAGGCCATTTGCTCAGCTGTCACATGGGAAAACTGTGACCTGTTGTCAGGGCTGGCGTTAGATGAGCACACACACCCAGTTAGATGAGCTTAGCGCAGTGCCTGCATGGGGAAGGGGACGTTAATGTGACTGAGTGGATGGGCTGCTTACGCGTAATAACGCCGCCTCCTGGGAGCTTGCTCTGTGCCAGGCTCGCACAGGGCTTTCGTGGGTGCGTGCATTTACTCCGTGCTGTTCTCCAGCTGAAACTTGTGGCTGCTGTGCCAAGGCTTTCTCTTATAAAACATGCCTGCAGCTGTCGTCATAGTCCCTCCCCCTTCGGTACCCCCTCATATTTTAACCCTCACTCTGCAGCTTTAGGTACTGTAAACAGTGCAACGTATAAAAGTGTGGATCTCTTAATACGAGTGTTCAGGGAGCTGTTGGTGTTAAACACTTCTATTTGATTTGTAGAATTTCTAGAAACAACTATAGTTTTAAATTACATACACCAATCCTGTCCCAGGAAACACGGTTATTAGGTTATTGCCAAAAGCTAAGTGAGAGGTGGAAACTCAGAAAGAATACCAAAACTCAATATTTTCCACTCTATTTTAACGCCTGGTTTAGAGTTGGTTTGCTGCGCTGTGGGTGACTCTGAGTGGCGTGGGGCCATTGTCATCCTGGACTAGTGGGATGACATCAGCTTTTTCAGTCACTGTACGCCTTGGATAGGAATTATTTCAAAGAATGACCTTCGTTCTGTCTGACCAGGGGGGACGGCCCTCTCCTCACAGTGCTGTGGGCTCGGTCACTTCTTTTGTTCGTGGCTGTTTGAGGTGCCTTGGGGGAAGGATGAAATGTTTGCGCCTCTGTGGTGAATATTTCCTGATATACATGTCAAGGTTGCCCGTTCTAGCACTAGATTTCATAGACAAACTCCAAGGTCTGTTTAAAACACAAATTTTGTTCTCACGGTTAAGGCGACAGTATTGAACTCGTTTGCTCCTCCCCACTGCACAATAGCGGTTGTGCACTTTTGGGGACATTTCTCTCACTCACAAATAATTTCTGCTCTCAGAAATCTTACAGTGGTTCAGAAAGCCATAGAGAGTTATGTCATGAAAACTGAACACAAAAGGGAACAGGAATGAGAGGAATCTTTATTTTAGATTCACTTGGGGCTGTGTTGCCATTTACCTCATCTTAGCAAACCTGGTCAGGTTGCCCCCTTTAGTACATGTTAGGACTTAAGACCAAATCCATGCCATTCAGAAGGGTATAGACGCTGGCCAAGAGGGCGGGGAAAGCAAGACAGAAGGTTTTTATTTATTTTTAAAAATTTTATTGGGAAATTGGGGAAGGGTAACAGCCAAGTTGTTGTCCTTCAGTCTTAGCTGTGGAGGGCGCAGGTAGCTCAGCTCGACGTCGCCATCTGGCCACCCGTTGGCAGCTCGTGGCTGCTCAGCTCAAGGTGTTTTGTTCAGTCTTAGTTGCGGGTGGGCGTAGCCCACCATCCCATATGGGAGTCGAACCAGTAACCTTGTGGTTAGGAGCACATGCTCTCACCAGCTGAGCCATCCTGCCACCTGTTGGCAGCTCAGTGGCAGCTCAGCTCAGGTGCAGCTCACTGGCCCATGTGGGAATCGAACCGGTGACCCTGTTGCTCAGAGCTCATGCTCTTAACCAACTGAGCCACTCAGCCAGCCCTATTTTTTTATTTTTTGAGTGTATATTTAGTTTCAACCTTGCATTTTTTTTTGTTTTAGAGTAAAAAACCCCAATAACTCTCCAAATATGAAGTTAGACATTAGGTCCCTTGGACTTACCTTTAAGAATGGTAAAGATTCCAGCACTTTATCATAAAAGTAAATCTGAGTAATGAAGTTTCCTACTTTGATGAAATTATGAAATGTGTTGAATTTGTATAGTAAATGTTTTTCTATTTTAAATGCATGTAATATTGGTTTAAATTATATGTCAGCACTGACTGGTTTTTTTTTGGGGGGGGAGTAGCAGCTACTAGTGTTGTTAGCAGTCCATCTCTTTTTATTGATACAGCACAGAGCTATGTTTTTATTCTTTCCTTTAATGTTAGTTGAGACTAAAAACGAATCTGAGTGTTGGGACGAAGCCCTGCTCTGCCGTCAGACTCCTCCCTCCCGCGTCCTCCCTTCCCTGCTGAGAACCACTGCTCTGCAGCAGATGCTCTAACAGGAAACATGAGACTCACATCAATCACTGATTTTATTCTGAATGTAACTTCCTTTAGAATAAAGGTCAAGGTTAATGTCTCAGTTTCACACACAGTTTGTCAAATTTCATACTAAGTAAATGCCTTAGTTCCTGTTTGAGGTATAAGAAAGATACTTCAAACAGTTTTTTTCAAAATATTTAGGAAACATTTTAGTTTTCAGGGAACGTTGCATTTTTAGAGTGGTTTAGAAAGGAAGGAACACTGTTTAACACATAGGACACAGCCACAGGGATTTCTGACCTTAGAACAAGGAGAACCCTGAAGTCACATCACTTTTTCTTATTATTACTGTTAAGAGTTCTGATGTGAGATGCTCAGAAGCAGCTTAACTGGAGGGGTGGGAGTATGGCGGCAGCTTCCATATTCTGTGTGAAGCCGTTGGTAGCCTGGGGAGCCTGCACTCTGTGCTCCTGTCTACGGAACTTGAAATAGTGGGGATCTCCTCCTTGTCCGAAGGCCCAGCGCTTTCCCTGGGGCCCGCATAGCCCCCAGGGCAGCCCCGCTGCTCCAGCCCGCCTTGTTGCCGGCCTCTCTGGGGGCTGCCCACGGAGTCTTTCAGAACTTGCTTGAAGATGTAGACTATTTCCCAGGGCAGTACATCATTTTCTGCCAGAACTTCTCGAAATCTAGAGGGAAAGCAGCAGTGAGTATTCAGCTCAGAACATTTCTTTTGCCCCCCTCCTTTTGTCTCCAGAGTGCAGCTCGTGTGATGTAATCTTGGGGTAGGCACCCATCTTTGGGGAGATCGGCACATCGCTTTGACATTGTGCTTCTAGTAAAGAAATTTTGAATGTGGTTTAAAAACATTTCCTAGCCAGTGAGATATCAACAGACACTTCTGTCTGGCTGTCATTAGGTTTTTCAGTTGCTGGGAATGGGGCACACGTGATGAAAGGACTTACCTGACAGAATACAGTTTCCAGTCTGAATATGTGAGGAGCTTGGACTTGACCGTACAAACGCCACAGACGAGAAGGCGGAATTTTACCTGCTGAGAACGGATCCTGTTTGGCCAGGTTGAACTTGGGAGCAGAGAACTTCAAGCTGTCTTTGTTCCGTAGCTGGGATGGTCACGTGGGGGTTCTGGTCGCTCCTCAGCCAGTTGTAATCCACACCTGTCCTCACTTTCTGTTCATTTTCGATCTCTTGTATTAATCTCTCTCGCTCCTTTAGATGCCATTTCAATTCCCGAAGCAGAGTTTTTGTCACTGCATCTGAGTCTGGGTGGCGTGTGGGTTTGTAGGACTCGTACTTTGGCCATTTCATCCATCCAAAAAGGGGCATTTTTAGCCTATGGAAATATTGTCTCTTGTTTATTTGCATAAAATGCTGTGGCTCTGATGAGCAAATAGTAGTTCATTTACAATAGATTTGCCAGAAAAGTGCATGAATTTTTCACTGATTAGATATACAGGTCAGAGTAAGATTAGAACATGGATTAAAGTCTTTTAATTTCTAACTAGGTCAGTGCTCAAAACCAAGCTTGGAAAATACATTTAGGTAGCCAAGCAGCAGTGAAATACACAAAGTTAGATCTAATCTGCAGACTGAACACTTTCTGAAAATAACACTTAACGCTTGCTGCTACAAGTTCTCAGGAGGCTGTACCATGACTGTAGGAACATGCTCTCTGCAGACATCCTTGGACATAGGTTATGTACAGAGAAGGTTTGAAGCATACCTGTCAGTGGATGGATCGATATGCTGACGCTGCCAGAGCTTATGTGACCGGCAGTGAGGCGCTTTGACTCAGGCGTGCCCTGTCCTCCTGGAGTCGTGCCCTATCCTCCTGGAGGTGCCCCCTGTTGAAGGAATGAGACTTCTTGTTTACCCACTGAAACGGATTTTGAAATAAATAACTTTTTGTGTTAGAGTGAGGTTGTGATGTCTTTATTTTGGGAGAATGCTCTTAATTCACCTTGTATGTAGGTAAGCCAGAAGAAATAACAGAAATACTTACTGTTTAATCTTCACAAGTTATATGATGGTCGGCCTTTTGACTGTAGCTCGGTCTACTTGAAAAAAGATGCCGTTAGCTGTGGATTCTGGTCTTGAATGCGTTTGGACAGACCTTTGGTAATGAACGGAGGAACGGAGCACACAGATGCGCTCCCAGCCAAAGTGAAGCTGTCGCATGGTGTGATGCTTTCTGTGCATAGCTGGAGGTCACAGTTTCGTGCAGTATTTTTATGCCTGTAGAGCTCTAAAAATAACCATGTTGCTTTTATTCTTCAGCTTAACTTTCAGGCCATTTAGAAGCCAGGTCACTGTCCCCTCTAATGAAAGCAGGAAAAATAGATCAGACTTGACTATTTGCAAAATATACATTCTGAGAAAGCTCCTTACAACTGAGTAAAATGGGCAGAGAACGCTGATATCAGTCACGTGTGAGGTATCAGTAAACTCTCCGTTCTGTCCTCATTTTGCTCTTCTTTTAGATAGCAGTTACATTTGTATGTCTGAGCAAGTTGTAATGCTAGAGGCCAGACGTGTGTACACTGAAGTAGATAACTGTAAAATACACTTGATGATCTCTTTAAAACCTGGTGAGAAGGCAGTAAGGGATTAAGGTCTGGAAAGAGAGATGTAAGAACGTAGAATCCATTATAGAAAGTCATTCCAGTGTTTTGGAGCCGGAGCCGGGGCCCTGCACTCCCTGTCGGGCGGGCTCTGATGTGTCCTGGCCTTTCCCTCAGTTCAGGGGTGTGAGTCCTGCAGTGGGGGGCGGGCAGCGCCTCTTCAGCCCAGGCCTGTGCTCGACGGCTACCCAGCAGCCTGGCCGTGCCTGGTACGTGTTTCTCCTGCTGCCTTCCCTTCAAGGGAACCGTGGTGGATAGGCATGGTTTCCATCAGACCTGCGTGTCGTGTGATAAAGAGTGACGCATGGGGTTGTCCTGTTGCTTATATGGTAGAAAACGCCAGACGTCAGGATTCGTTATCTTCAGCTAGAAGGTTTTCACATCACATTGTGTGTGCTGCTGTGAAAAGTTGGTCATGACAGGCCTGTCCTGCCAGATTTTCTACTGAAGTTACAATGAACCCTGCCACTCCTGCCTTTGAATCACCTCCTTTATTGCTGCACTGTTTACATTTGGCCTCTGAAATGGTAATAAGGATCTCGGAGCATGTCAGGTATGGAGCCTAAACGGAATTTCTGCTCCAGGCCCTCTGCAGCCTCCAGCTGTCACTTCCTCCCCGGCCCCCTCTCACCCTGCCCCTGGATGTCTGTCTCAGCCAGGCCTGACACCCCCCACACCTGCCGTGCTCCCTCGGTCCCTTCTTCAGCCTTGGCCACACAGGCTCTATCTCCTGGGATGCTTCGTTTCTCTCTTGTCCATGTCCCCACATTGTAACTCTTTTCCAGGGCCAGTTTAGATGCCAGCTAATTCCTTCTGTCTGAGGGAAGACATCCCCGTTTCCCCCTCGGCCCTCCTGTCCCCTGCCCTCTGGTTCTAGTTCCCGTTACTGTTAAACTGAGAGGGAGACCCGGCTGTGCTCCCGTCCTCTCTCCGCCCTGATTTCGAATCCTTTCTGATTAGATTCTGCTCTGCCCTCCACGGTAACTGCCAGCTTCCAGTCGCCCAGCAGGCAGATGTCCGCCGACCATGCCAGGGCCTGGATGCTGGGCAGGGATGGCGGTGCGGCAGAGAGCAGGGCAGACGGGCTCTCGCCCGCAGGGCGCTCGTCTTCTGGTGGGAGGACACACACCAGTGCAGAATCGTCCAGCGAGGGATCAGACATCACCGGAGGGGTTCTGCACACGCGAGGCCGCCCCCAGTTAGACGTGGGGGCCAGGCGAGGCCTGCTGGGTGGGGTGTCCTTTGGGGGTTTAAAGATGAGAGAGCTGGCTGCCCTAGGCTTACTGAAGGCACCCCCCGCCCTGCCACATGTCTCACGCGGCACCTGTCTTGCCACTGAGACTCGCTCACGTCTGACCCTCCCAGAACGTTTCTTACCGCCTCAGCCACATTCAGGAACCTTCCTTTGATCTTGTTTGCGTCACTCTATTTTTCTGGTACTCAGGGTGTGCTACTTGTATTATTATCAATCTTATTCTTTGTCCTATCTCCTGAGACTGCTAGATTGAAACAGAGTCCAGAATCATTCTCTGATTAGAGTAGCTCCCCTGCCACTGTGTAGACAGAGGACATAGGTGTTTGTAGGTCGGTCCTTCCTGTTTATCAGGGTGGAACCAGAGAACATTGGGTTTTATACATCAGACATGTTAGTATGTTGAATGAATGAATGAATGAATGAATGGCTTCTAATGACTTGCAGCCTCATTAGGATATTTTGTGTGGAAGGTGTAAAGCTTAAGCTATGAAACAAGTAGGGCAATTTCTTTTTGGTCATAATCATGGTTTTCGAGGCTACATCTTATTAGCGGAATAGTACAGAATTTTATAAGACTCGATGTGCAGTAGGACCATAACACTCATTGTGTGTGTGTAAAACTTGAAGGCGTGTAAGGAAATTCCTGAGGAGATAAGTCTGGAAAGACAGGCCGGTCCCGGGGCCAGGCACAGCTGCGATGGGTTTGCAGCCAGGCCTCCCGCACGGGCTCAGCAGCACCTGGCTGCAGCCGGAGGAAGCTGTTTCACTGAGAGGAGCTGACTGTCCTGCTCTTGTCAGTTCCTTGGCCGCTCAATTAAAAGCTTCGGGGGCCGGCCGAGTGGCTCAGTTGGTTAGGAGTTGGCTTAAGAGCGCGAGCTCTGAGCAACAGGGCTGCTGGTTCAATTCCCACATGGGCCAGTGATGCTGCATCCAAGCTGAGCTGTCACTGAACTGCCAACAGGTGGCACGATGACTCTGCTGGCGTAACAACAAGATTGCCTGTTTGATGGTGGGCTACACCCACCCGCAACTAAGACTGAACACAGTACCTTGAGCTTAGAGGCCACGAGCTGCCGATGGGCAGCCAGATGGCGACTGGCGCCCTCCACAACAAAGATCGAAGAACAACCACTTGGCTGGTCCTCTTCCTCAACTCCCCAGTACTGTTGTCCTCCCCCAGTTCCCCAATAAAATCTTTAAAAAAAAAAAAAAAAGCTCTGGGTTATTGGCTTTTTTTTTTTTTGCTATTAAAAATGCAGCTAATATTTGAGGAGAAACTAAGATGTTACGTTTTCCCCCAATATTATTTCCTCTTTAAAATATTATAATTAAAATACACTAATATGTGTACTTTTTAAAGTTCAAAGTCACATTTCCATGGGGTCACCTGTTTTGATTTATAGGAATTCTTTATTCTGCTACGAGCTGCATGTTTCCTTTTGAGTGACCACTGTTCTTGCCCTTTAGCCTATAGACATGTTCATATGTTTTAAGGTATAATTTAAGTTTATCGATATTTTCCTTTCTGACTGTCTTTTTCTGTGCTTTTGTTTAAGAAGGCCAATTTCACTCTAAGGTGATAACATACAGAAGAACATTAGCTTTCTAGGCTTAAAACAATATGTGGTGTTGGCTTGGAATTGCTTTGGGATGGGTGTGAAGTGTGGGGGTCAGGCCCTTTCGGTCCCCACACTGGCGAGCCGGTATGCAGAGGAAGTGGTTATCGCCAAGCAACTGGGGTATGTCCTGGGCATTTTGAATATGACATGGAGGGACTCTGGGTCACATTGAAACCTTGTGGAGGTGTAGCCAGGCTGCTGTGTTCAGGCCACAGTTTCCCCTCAGCCTCTGGGCTGTGGTCTCGTGGTCCATCGGGTTTTCGGAGCCTTTGCAGTGCCATGTGGACATGTCCTGCACTGAGCCACCTCGTGGCTGTTCTGGAATCGGGGAGGCGGGGGGGGGGCGGGGGAGGTCAGCGCACGCCTGCCCGGCCCTGGGGTGAGCCCAGCTGTCCCGAACTGGCCCTGGGGGTCTGCTTTTCAGTGTCCCCTGCATGGCTGTGTGGCGCTTTGCAGACTTGCTTCTAGCTTGCTTAAATATCACCTTATCACGCTGTTAACGTTGCACCCCTCCTCTCCCCAGTCTCCTCTGCTGGCTGTATTTTTCTCTGTGTGCTTGTCAGGGTCTCACACACTCCATGTTTTACTTTATTTCTCTTTCCTCAACTCGACTGTGAGCTCCGTGCGGGCCGTCTGCTGACTGCTTTATCCCGAGCGCCTAGGACCGTGCCTGATGTGGAGCCAGCCCTCAGCTGTTACTTTGTGGAGTGAATTCATGACTAAATGTCAGGCAAACAGTCACCAAAAGAATGCCGTTACAGCTATTAGTTAGACAAAAGTAGACTTTAATGCTAATAGCACTTTATTAAAGTAAACCTCAGGGTTCGAGAATTTGTGTCATAGTCTGTTCTCTGAGTGCAGTGCTTTTAAATTAGACATTGCTAAGGAAAATATAATAAATTATAATTGATATCACAGTGCAGTTGTCTTTTTTCATGTAATGTTTTATATGTTTTTTATCTATTAGTATGAGTATAGCCATGGCAGTCTTTAAAATGATACATATTAAGTAAGAGTATGCCATAGCTGAGCCTGACCCTCTGTTAGACTTTTGTTTTTCAAGTTTCAACTACTCCAAATATTGTGAGAAGGCACTTTTCCTTCCTGGACTTGCTTATCCCTTTGCCCTGTTTATGTCCTCCGTGTCACTAAGGAGCACCTGATGTGTGTGTCACGTGTCCTGCACTGGAGCGCCGGGTTCGTGAGGGTAGGGACTGTGTCTGCGTGTCTGAGACAGCGCCTCGCTCTGAATGAGCGAGTGCTTCCATGCCCATGTTTGCACGTGCTTCCTTGTGTGCCCGTGCAAATACCGCTCCAAGAAAGACACGGGCGGAACTGGTGTTGGCTGCAGGAGGGGTAGGTTTGAACAGGTACTGGCAGGTTGCCCTTCACAGTGGATGGTCAGACCCATCTGCCACCCTCCCCTATAATCTAAGAACATTTTTTGCCAATTTGAAGGATGAGAAAATGGTTTCTCATTGTTTTAATTTGCATCTACTTGATAAATGACTGTACATTAGAGCATTTTCATTTGTTGATTGACCATTTGCATGTTTTCTATGACTTAATGTAAAAGCATTCAAGACTCCCTGCTCCTGGGGTTTCTCGGCCTTCTGGAAACAGTGCGCTAACTCTCAGGACTCTTTGCAGGCCGCTTAGCCAGGAGAGCTCCGACTCTGAG